CATTTTCTGTAGGTAAAACAGGGACAGACATAGTGCCCTGCACTGTGAACTGCAAGGGCAGATTTAGTAAACGTACAGTAAGTGCTCAAAACCAAGAGTACACGCAGTGAAGGAGAACAGTTGAAGAAAAACTAGGTAGTACATCACATTAAGTGCTTCAGCGACACACAGCAAGCTTCATCACTCAGCAATGATAAATCACCAGGCATACTCAGAACCAGAAAAATCAGAATGAAGATTTGTCCATGGCTACGGAAAGCAGCTATCTTATGGCACTGAATATTCACTTACATGATCAAAATGTACAGTTTGGAGAAAGCAGCTGTTAGAACATTCAGCTTGCATGCTACCATGAAGCATGTTTGAGTAAATTTAATACATGTGGTTTAAATAAGTATAAGTTAAACAGGGACTATTCCCATGATTCATGAAAAGAGAAAAAGTGAGTTTTGAAAAATTTACACCTTAGAGGAGGAACTCTGTATCTTACCTGATTATAAGCATGGGTGCTATTAGGTTATTCTGGGGATATAAAATATAGTAAGTTTATTTGATAGCCTCTCTATCGATACAGTGTCATCTTCTGTTTTGCTCAGAGGGCTTTTGGAAAAAGGCTATAGAACTTGAAATAAGTAATGGAATTGCTCTGAGAAAATCTCAAAGTCCTTTTTTCAGGGAAGTTTCAAAAAAGTTTTTGATATAAATATATATATATATTTCCCAGTGTAAAAATTAAAAACACAAGGGGTAAGAGACACACTGAACAACAGAAGCACAGGAGATCTGAAGCCCTTTCCCTGCCCAGGCTCCCCAGCTGGGAAGTGCCATCCTGAGACCAAAGCAGCAGGGGATGCTCTAGGCTCAGTGCTGCCAGCAGGGCAATGTTTGAACATTACTGCTGCCATCTACCACAGGAGGTTCAGGCTCCCTACACAATTTTGTGCAAAACTGTTTTGCTGTTTGAACCAAGCAATCAACAAGCTACTGTAACTCTGATGTTGCAAACAAAGCATACACCAAATTGCACTGGCAAAAGGCTTATTGGTTGGCCTTCAATGTAGCAATTAGAAATCATGATGAAAAGGAAAAACTTTCATGGGAATCAGTACTGTGTCCTACCCATGCAAAATGACTGCAGACAAGATGTGCAGGTACAAAGGCTGGTGGAGTGATATACAGCAAGGGGGTCAGGGCAACCATAAAGTGATGAAAGTTACTTGATAAGTTTAGCAAACTTCATAAATTCAACAGAATGTGTTTGTTTTACTAACACTCCTGAACTGATGCACAAAATGAATATATCAAGGGATAAAGCTGTATTAGGATTAATGGTCAGGGTGTGAAAACCCTTAATCCAAGAGTCACAGAGGACATGCACTTCATCAGAGGCAGAGGTCTACACCTTACTACTGAGGAGGTGGTATTTGTTCCTTCATACAGCTTGAATGAAATTAATACTGGAATGTTGTGTCCAATTCTGACATTCATATTTTTCTACCAAAAAAAACTGAAGAAGGTGTGCAAAAATACCTCAGTTTCTAGAGAACTGGAGAAAGTGCCATAAGAACACTATAAGAATCCCAACTGTTTGGCTTTTTTTTAAAAAAAGTTAAAGATTGTATACAGATGTATAATCAAAACAGGAAAACAGCAGGTGCCAAAGGACTATTCAGTATTAGGAACAAAGGCATCAAAAGGCAGCACACTATAGCCAGAAAAACAAACAAACAAAAAAAACCTCCCAAAAATTAGAAAGGAGTTACACATATTTTTTAACTCAGATATTAAATATTACAAGAGATTTCAAATGCGAAGTAATAGATTTTTCATATTTTTTTCTGCTTTAAATCAGAACTGGATGCTTTTTTTGAAGTTTAGCCAAGTAACTTTTATCTTCTAATTAAACAGAATTTACTAGGTTTAAGTAATTAAATGGGAATTAAAATACAGAAAACCGTAACCCAGCAAGCTTGTGTTGTTAGCAAGACACTGCATTTAAGAAGTCTACTGTATAAGCCTGTGTACTTCTTGGGAGCAATCATGACAAATTTGAGAAAGACATGATTTTAGCTGGACTTCAAGGACTGTCTTCTACTACAAGTCCTGATGCCGGCCTTTGCAGGAGTGGATAAGAAGGAAACAGATGTCAGTGATATCTCAGTCTGCTGAATCTGCAATAGAGGAAATCTTCTGATGTTAACACAACCACAAGTTCATGAAATTGTGGAAGAAAGTGGTAGAAACCAGAAGATGTACTGTTTCATTTAAACTTGTTCTATTGGAGCTTGGCATACTCACATGCTAAAACCCTAATGACTTTCATGTTAATGACTCTCTAGCTTGACCTGTGAGAGGTTGAGGAGAGTGGTGGGAGTGGAAGCAGCATGATATGTTCCTCCTTTACAGAAACCCAGAGGAGGTTTGATGCAAACCAGGCACATTTTGTTCTTATGCTGCTGTTCAACACAGAAGGGTGCCAAGCACATTTTCACATTTGATATCAAAAGCAAAATTAATCATTTGGCCTTTTTCCTTTCAAAGAGAACTCAAAAAATCTAGTGACAGTACAAATCTCAAAGAAACTGAGTTTAAAGAGAGCAACTGCAAGGTTGTGAGTTGCTGAAGGCATCGTGCTGCAGGCTGGGGCTGTGTGCTCCGTCCACGGCCCTGCAAACCCTTCTTTGTGGAGATTAACTTTTATTTTATCCCATGCCTACAATGGATACCCTTCTCTGCTGTCAGAACAGTGAGGAAAGGATTTCAATGTAATTTTCAAATCCTCAGTAGCTACACGCACAGTAATATGAGATCAATTATTCTTGCATACTAGAAATAGGTCTGGATAAGAGACTGCTCAGAGATTACTTCAGAGCATAAGAAATTAGCTAAAGATAAACAGCAATGAACAAAAAGGTTCAACATTTTCCTTGTCAAAATTAATTCTATTCACTCCATGCGAAGTGATAAAATGTAATGAAATTTGCTGATGAAAACTGATGAACTAATCAATACAAAAAGAGGTGTGCTGTCAGAAAAAGATTTAAGAGGGTTGCCCAAAGGAGAAAGATTACTACTTACACCCTCAGACTTGAAGTTTTGCCAGTATTCAGAGCTTGTAAAGTTGATTTTCTTAGAGAAAAACAACAACAACAACAGGTGATGACAGGCAAAGTATACATTCCATTTATCCCCCCAAACTGTTCCTTTTAGCAACTTGCAAATTTTTCATTCTGTGTACCATACCAGTCACAGTTTAGTACTCTTTCTTTACTCATAGGGCCATGTTTTCCCTACTTCTATAGCCACCTTAAAAAACAAAAACAGATAGTTGTTATCTAAAACAAATAAATTAGTCTATTGCACTGGATTTCAGCAAATACTGGATTCTGATACTAGTTATGGCCTTTTTGAAACTGCATATTAGATACTTTTAATGGAGAGCCATTCCTGCTTTTAGGGTTGCTTCACTTTCTCTTGCATGTAGTTCTGTGCTAGATAATCTTAATTAGCAGGAGCAAAGTTTCATTTAAATTAAGAATAATCATGGTCGTGTCAAGTAATTCTCAAAAGTGTTCTTTTTAGACAAAGCTAAGGAATGACAACAAACATCATGGCCTATAGTAATCTTAGATTATTATATAGCTGACTTTTACTGAGACTGATGTTTATGAGGAATTTTAAAAACATTTTTTATTCTATGTTGATATGACACTTCAGGACCCTGTTCTCCATTAATTATTGAATTCACAAAAACATTCATTAATCTGCTCTTTTACTTTGGTTGCAAGCTAAACTTTCATAATGTTGCCTAGATTTTAACTCATACAAATGGAATTTATGAAATAGGTTATAACTGTATCATGGAATATACCTGTGTTACAACACTCATTTAAATCCAAGAACTAAATAAGAACTTCTTTCATGCTTTAAGCTATATTTATATCTACTATTATTAACTCATTTGGCAGAGGCAAAAACAAGCATAACTCAGGGAAAGGGAACATATTTCTCTTTTCACACTGGCCTGCCTTTTACATAACCTCTTTGCTTCATCAGGAACTTAAAATATGTTCCACGGAAATGAAATGAAATGCTTTATTTAGTACGTTGCTCTACAGGAATGAACACAGAAGTGAAGCTTGTATTACCTACCTGCTAAGTTAAATGTTATGCTCTTTTTTTTTGTTGGAATGTGCATTCTCTGTCTTTTCTTGGAAACCAGAAAATAAATGATTGAGAGCAAAAAGAGCAAAGCCAGTGCTGTCCTAAGAATGCAGTTCAATAAGGCAGTAGTCAACAGGTGAATTTCTGACTACTTTTCTGAGCTAATGCCATATTTTGGAAAAGTGGACCTCACACTGATAGTACAGTTTATGATATATGCAACATGAACTAAACTATATTTTATTTACTTTGCGAGGGAATATTCTCAATTTAAAGCAAGATGACTAAAAGAGCCTGTAGTTAGCCTCTGAATGTTATATACTAAAAAAGACAAGCCATTTTTTTCAGGACTCAGATATAATAGATAACAACAGTCAGCAGAGATATAGTTCTTTGCTCACATATCCCTATATCTGAAAAAAAAAATCCCACAGATCATACCATGCGTTATTATTATTATTTTTCCTTATTCAGAGAATAACCAATTCTCAGTGACATTTGTAGTCAAAGTCAGTAGATCCAGCATCCACACTTACACTCAACAATGCCACTGGAAGGAATTCAGTATCTCATTATAGTTCAAGAATTCAGACATAACCATGTCTTCAATCTAATTGCATTATGGAAGCTACTCTTTGCCATCAACCAAATCTGAAGCTACTTCAATTAAAATAAAATTTAATAGAGCATTAGGTCCTAGTCCCAAATGCAGCTGCCCAGTATCTGACATCATATGCTCTAACTTTTGTTGCAGTATCACTTTGTGATGCAAAAAGCTAATGCTATTTGTACGAGTAAAAGGCAACTTTGAAACTGTGGATGACTGTGTAAAAGCATTGAGTGCACACTGCTGAATGTGCAGAGCAGTGAAAGAAAAAAAAGTTGTTTATTCTTTGCAGTAAGACCACAAAAAACTAAGTTTCAATGTTGTCTAGACGATACCTCAGAGAACCCATTATATATAATCCTGTATAGATGGAAGCATGAGTGCTCTTTCATCAGCTTGAAATCCAATCAGCATCCATTACTTCCAGGGAGAGAGACAGGAAGTTGCAGGGTTTAATGGCTTAATTCACTTTCTATACCAGTTGTGTGTCCCAGCAGATACAGAAACCTGCTGGATGGCTTCAGACACTAATGACTCCATTACTTATGATAACTCATCTTCCATTCCTGAGCTTCAGAACCTCATGGACTGTCCCTCACCTCTTACAACAAGATCCATACAAAAAGACTGTCATTTTAGATTTACTTATCATTCATAGTACTTCCTTCCACTAGTATTTACCTGTAGCCAGGACAATATTTTTCTCTCCAACTTCATGTGAAACTAAGTAACAACAGTAACAGAAAGCTAACGTAACAGTGGTTGATAAAATTATTGAAGCATCTGAAAAGCAATTCACAGAATAAGATTGAGAAATCCTAAAAAATACAGAACAGGTATTTTTCACACCTGAACAATTTTTAAAAGAAATTCAGCATGAAATAATATGTTTTGGGAGCACAGATTTTGAGGAAAGGCTTTTGTGTTTCTGTGTTTTTTCCTTTTTCATGTTTTTCTTTTTTGCTCTGTGCCCTGCATTTGTCTTTCTTATTCTTGGGGCTGCTCTGGTAGGGATTATTGTCCAGGATCACAGCTGACAACAATACATGGAAAAGGAAGTAATATTGTCTCCCTGGCCCTTAGATATCTCTAAGATCAGATCAGAGAGTTATCATCAGAGCTGGCTTTTTGTTGTACCCATAGCATTTGTTAAATATGCCTAGAAATTGAGATAACTTAAAAAAGATCCTTCCTGCCATTCTCCCTGTGAAGTCTTTTTCTAGATCTTCTCAAAATTTGCACAATAAATCATCCTGAGCAAAGTATTAACTGCCTTAGTGCATCTGTCCAGCAATTGGCAGGACTGTTGCTTTTGATTCTGAGTTACAGGACTGCCGTTTCAGTAGTTTCTTTGAACTGTTTGCATAGCTTACCTCTCGTATCTTCTCTGAGACTGGACACATAACACATCCTGGGATGTAAATAACCTGTGAAATCCTGCTCTTTGAGTGAATGTACTACTTACAAGTCTTTACACAGAAAGTTTGGTTTGAGACCAGAGTAGTAGCACTGAAAACAAAAGAACAACGTATTGCTGGAGTGAAAACAGGAGTAGTGAGTAGAAGTAGACAGGAAAATGGCAATGTGGTATTTTCACACCATGATCTTCTCAGCAAAAGGTTCAAGAAGGCTTTCAATTTGTGCATATTTTTAACCCACTGTAAATCTAACCTTTGCCCTAAAGCAGATCAGAGTTTTGATTTTAAGGGAATCATCCTAACTGACAGCCACTGCAGCCTTAGAAAATGTACTCCTAATGTATACTCTACAAACACTTACATTTTGGCACATATATTTCATACAAGAACTGATCCACTGTTCTGCTTTGCACTGTTTGCATTCAAAGACTCTCATTTTGCCTGAGAAAAAAAGAAAACAGAAATAAATAATCACAAAATAAAACATGATCAGAGAATAATGTTCCCTGGTTGCTTTAGACAGCCAAAGCCATGATGAAACATTTCATGGATAAGAACAATCATTGATTGTGTAACATTTTACTATAGTGTCTTAATTATATTATGCTAAAATAAATTAAAATATCTTAATCCCTTTTTATATCTAGTTTAGCATACATATCTAATTTTGGCCCTTTCCAAATGACCTCAGAAAGTCAGAAACGCTACTGTTTCTTACTGATGCTGAACTCAACACAGGCATATTTCAAAGATAAATATGATCATTTATGTGTTAAAATGTATACCAGACAGCATATGTTTCAAAACCAGTTCCTGCTTCCTTGACTTTTCTCCTAATGTTTATTCCTGAAATGTAGATTTTTTTCCCAGACTAGAAATATACATCATAAAAAGTATACCTGCATTTGTCTATTGGTACACACATTTGTATATCAGTAACTGATGCAGACTACTTTTAAAAGTCTCACTTTTTCTCAAAGACAAAAAAAACCCATGTGTTTTCTCAAAGACACGTATTTTACACAGGACACTTAGGAGTATGATATCTGAAGAAGTTATTATCGCTCCTTTTAATGACATTAATAGTACCTTTAAAAGAACTGAGAAATTCACTTAAAGAAAGGCTCAATGAATATGACTGAATGTTCTGCATTTTAAGTAAGTAAAGGTAGACAGATTACTAAGATTAATTGTTCTCCTAGAGATCACACAATGGAACAGAATAGTAACAATATTGAACACTTACGCGTGCACACACATTATCCCTTTATTTACAAGTAATTAGTCCAGAAGTCCACTCATTAGATCTTCTCAGTGTATGCATTATAGAGTAACTCTAAAATTTGACCAGCATGTTTCCAAATATTTGCTAATGACAACTTTATTCGGCTTTGTAGCTGCAAATTTACAAATTACCAGGTTTTGATAGTATATATATATCTGCAGTTCCTTTTAAAAAGATTGGGGACATTTTGGAATGTTGAACGTGTTCAGATTTTAGTGTGCAATGATTTTAGAAATGTTTTCATTTTTCAACTGTAGTCAATTTATATGAATGTGATTTCTGATTCAAATGAGATGTAGTTGGAAAGCTTGCTTACTTTAAATTTTACCAAACTGTGTTATCAGCTATTTAGCAAATGAATCATCTATTTTACATAATTCATCTTGAAACTTGAATGTGTATGTGTATTGTATCAGTTATCACAGATCACCAAAAATATACAATCTGTACATCCATTAATCATCCTCACAGACATACTGGAAGGAGGCAAAGGTGAAGGAGCTCTCAAATCATATACATATTGGAAGAAGAAATTCTGCCCCAGAAGTTAAATGTCAAAATCATCCTTGAAACAATAATAATAATAAAAAGTTTACTGAGTTTGTTTAAAATAAACAAGGACAGAATTGTTATCTTTGATGCAAAAAAAGAGACAGACTACTTTCCTGAATGCCATAAAAATAAACTATTTTAATAGCCACATAAATAAAAAGTTTAAAGTAGATTTTTCCCCCAAAACACAAAGATGGCCCAGCTTCTGTACAGAAACTGAACAATATTCACGTGATTACTTAATTAAATAATCACTTTGTTACATTCAAAATAATTGGAGGCAAATACATATTGAAATGATGTACCTGAATCATTCTCCTCTCATCTTAGCAGTGTCTACAGCATTTCCTTGTTTTACAGTACTCTGAGGATGTGGATCTGTTGAATAAAACTCTGAATGACTGAGTGAAAATAAAATTAAAAATCAAAAGAAAAACAAATAAACAACCCTTGCATCACCCACTAATTAAAGTTTTAATGGAAAAGAAGAAAGTATTGTGCTGTAAAATAAATTACGTCTTGCATGTACTGTAGTATAGATATCTTAAAGTGTTTAAATATTACATTCACTTTGGTGATGTGCTTTTGCCTATGCCTATAATAAATTATACATGGCCTGTGCTAGTTATTCATGTGTGCCGATAACAACTTTCTGGTTTTACTACAAATGAGGAAAGGTTAGCACATTTAGAGAATTTAAAAAGTATTTCTGGTTTATCTAAGAGAAACACAGTCTAATTCAAAGCAGCTTTCCTACTATCATGTTCCTCTCCCCAACACCCCCCAAAAAAGATACCATTGGCTTCAATTTTTGCTATGTTTTATAAAAAAAAAGTCACAGGTTGGTGGCTAACACTCTCAGACCTACAGAAGTTTTCAAGCTTTGTTTTTCCTTTCTCTCTATGAAACATCTGCCACTCCAGACTCTCAAAAAATTCTAACTAATTCAGGAAAGGAACAATCATTTGTCCATCAAAAATGGGCCTTCTGAAGTTAGGAGTAATTGTGTTCTTATCTGGAATGTAGCTGTGATGGAAGAGCACCATTCTTCCTGTAGAGGAGAAAGTCTGTCACATGGATGTTCATGTATGTTTGATGCAGAGTGTCAAAATATCTCATCTTAGTGAAATTTGAGAACAAATTAAAAGATGACAGCTTTCCTCCATAGTGCAGAACAGGCATTTCTGGTATATTCTGTCAGAATTCAAGGAACTTGGGCCAAGCTGTCTTAGGCTTGGCAAAAAAAGTATGCTCAAAGTCTATCCACCAGCAAGACGTGATCGGCAATGTAACGATTGTCCTTTTTTCCGATTTGCTTTTTTCTTGTTCTTGTTCTTCTTTTGCTTATTAGCACCTTTACTTTTATCTGACTTCTTCTTCTTTTCATCCTCTTTAAACCATGGACCCCAGACTCCTCCATTCAGCTTTGGGTTACTCCGTGGGTCCTTAGGTGGGTACCGAACAGGAACTGCAGTCTTATTAAACTGTGAAAGCCTCCTCAACAGCTGTTTCACTACATCAGGATACTTTGCAGAGAGGTCCACCCGTTCGTATGGATCAGCAGTTATGTTGAAAAGCCACACAGTTTTGCCAGCTGACCAAGAAACACGTTCATTATGCCAGCGGTTGGGGCCCACATTGCTGAAGGCCTGTGGAGGAACCCAGTCACTATATCCTGGATTTCCTGTCAGTAGTTTCCAATGATTCACTCTGATGGCAGATTGAATTGCAGTGTTCCAGATCCCATAGCCAGCTGCCCAAGACCCATTTTTGGCTTTGGTGTAAATTGGATCAATGTTGTGTAAGATGTCTACCCGTGGAGAACGTCTGCCTTCGCTAATGGTTTCCCAAATATCATAGCCATCTAGCTGGATATCTTCATCAATCTGTCCTTCGGCCAGTGTGATCAAAGTGGGGAACCAGTCCGTGATGTGCACAAGCTCCTTACACACAGACCCTTTGTTTTTCAGAAGGGGGCTATGAACAAACCCAACAGCACGGATACCTCCTTCCCAGTATGTTCCTTTGCTGCCCCGGAGAGGCCAGTTACTTCCTCCAGCCATTGGCTGCCCACCGTTATCTGAAGAATATATGATAATGCTATTGTCATAGTATCCGTACTTCTTTAAAGCAAGGGTAACGTTGTTTATGGCTTCATCCAAACAAGCTAGCATCGCAGCGTATCTTCGCCTGTTTATGTTATTTATGGATCGATAATGTTCAAAATACTTTCCTGGTGCCTGAAGAGGTGAATGAACAGCTTGGTAAGCAATATATAAGAATATAGGTTTCCTGGGATTGTGAGAAGCTAATATTTGTTGTACTTTTTGCGTGTACATCTGTGTGGAGTAGATGCCATTGTCGTGATCCCAAGCTGCATTATCATTCTCATACAGGTCATAGCCACATATTCCAGGGCTGTCACATTTGAAGTGAGTGTAGTAGTCACCGCTGCCTAAGAGTGAGCCAAAGAAAGTGTCAAATCCTCTCTGTGTGGGCATGCATTCTCTGCGATAAAACCCCAAGTGCCATTTGCCAACCATGTGTGTTGAATAACCAACCTCCTTCAGTTTCTGAGGTAGCGTGACGTTATCCAGAGGTAGGCAGTTGGGCTGGGTTGGCCGTATAATGGAGTGCTGAAGGCCGGTGTGTATCTGGTACCTGGGGGCAGGCAGGAGAGAGACATTTGCATCAGGCAGGGGGAAAAGGAAAGCCTCAGGCTCTTACCCATGGACACCCACGTATATAACTGATAGAAAAAATTCTTAAGCACGAAGCAATTTTTATTTGAAATATTTCAGAGTGCATATGTCAAAAACTAACAAGGTTATACTATTAAATCTGCTGTAACAGGAGAATGGCATCTGTTTTACTTCACAAGCATTCAAAAGAGTGGCGTTTCCCTTGCTGGCCATTGGGCAACAATACCGAACAAGTAACATGACACAGCACATTACACACTCCCCTCCCTTTTGGCCTCATTTTTAGCATTTTAATTTCCTTGTAGCTGTGAGCAATGTTAGAGAATCTCAGAGGCAACAAGCTGCCTGCAAAGCATTAGTTAGACATTACTATTTTAAAGCTAGCAATCAAACTCACAGACTTTTCCAGTATCCCTCATGTATAATACAAAGCCTAGAAAGCAGAATGATTGCATTGTATTTTTGAGCACGAATAAGTACCACAGCCCTGACTCAGGCCCAGCTCTCACAACACATGCACAATCCTGAAGCCCCAATGATCAGATTTCTGATGATCCATCATGCAATATGCATATGGACTATGACTTAGCAGAGACATTGCTAATGTTATAACAACTGGGTCAGTCGTCAGCATGGACATGATGGGGCCTGGCTCTGCACCCTTTGGAGTCCGGAACACCTACAGTCCCATGCTGTGACATTCATCTCCTAAGGAAGAGGCGTAAGCACGTACAGATGGTGAGTTAGGTTTGCCCTAACTAAAAGGCAATTTACAGTTAAAGATGTTTATGAGAAATCACTGAAAAGAAAGTGATGAAATTATCATGGATCTTTTGTTCAGAACTCATTTTCTGTCTATGCCTAACATTTCTCTGAAGTGTTTCCTGTCAGAAACTGAGTTAGTCAAAATATCTAGATATACAGGAGCACTGACATTTTGAGATACATTTTTTTTTCCTCCACAGAAAGCTTTATCATGTCACCATTTCACAATGATTATGAAAAAATATTTGGGTGAATACAATTTTTACCATCCCTCATGATTTGATAGCGGTAAACATATTTACAGTATATACCTATACTGCACTTGGAAACTGCAACAACAGTATATTTAAAGGATGGGATAATAAATCCTGTAGCATAGTCTACGAGAAAAGAATACATATAGTATCCATAACATTAAAAAATAAATTCAGCATGGGCAGTAGTAACAAAAATTAAGCACAAGTCAGTTTTTAACCCTTAGACAACACAAATAAAATGTATCAGCACATTGTAAACTAAAGGAGGCTTCTCCCTGATTATAAGAACAGACAAAATTCTCAGCCACGAGTAGAACTACTAGCTGCCTCGCCACTGTGAATCCTCCTCAAAAATACTTTACTATTTTGTGGTAACAGAAGTTGGGATTTCCTGACGCATTCTGCTAATGCTGCCAATCTGATTGGCCTCCTGAGCTATCTACAGAATTAAAAACATTAAGCGCTGCCTGCCCATAAATAACTTAGTCTGCTTCTATATGATGTCTGCCTGGATAACATCTTAGTAAGCAACATGGATGTTCTTAATGCCTGCCAAGCTGTAATAATTGTGTTAACTTCCATTTTATTCTTGGACTTTTGTTATTTTCACAGAACCAGAAGCTGCAGTCCAACTAAATAACTGCAGAAGCTTTGAGTGTTGTGCTCCTCTGCTTTAAGCAGCACTGCTTCCTCTTTGTCTCTCTGGAATTTTTTCAGAGCATTGTTTCTATCTGTAACTAGTTTGTGTATCTGGAGCCCTGCCATCCAACTGTCCCAAAACTCATAGGCTGGTGCTGAGACAGAACAGACTGCAGTAGTTACAGAGCACTTCCAAAATTATGGGTTTCTGGACTTTACACTTCACTTCCATGAAAGAAATGACACACACGCACAAATATCCACATCCTTTCCATGATTTGAGTTGCATTTTTCTTTCAGAACAGGTAAACTACAGCAAGGAAACCACAATGAATAATGGCAGTGCCCCATATTTCAGTTCACTCTTTCTTTCAGAGCCCTCAGGGGACTACACTCAGAAGACATTTAATTTCCTTCCCCTTCTCTGTCCCCCTGCCTTGTACAACTCTTACAGCAAATTCCCCTCATTTGATCTGACTGAAGCTCCCACCCTGCTACTCTAGCGCATAGTTCTTGCCTTCTCCATCCCTGCCAGACTAAAAATCACCACCCAGCCCCAGTTTCTCCCGGTACACTGATTTTGCTGGGAGCTGGCATTTTCTTTACAGTGATGTTGGAGTAATAGAGACCCTGCTAACTCCTTGACAGATAAGCAGAATGTGAGGGGAATGGGTAACAGCACAGCACACTGCAAACTAAGCTACTTCTTGACAAAGCTTACACAGCAAGTATGAAACTCATACAAAGTTAATTCACATAAAAAAATCATAACCAACACGCAGATTTCCCAGCCAGGGCTTTTCAATTATATATTTAAGCATGAAATTCCTACACTGGCTATTTGAAAAACATTGAACTAAAAAATATCAAGAATTAGCCTCAGTTATTAGACATTATTCTTAGTTATTACACCTTAGTATTTAGTTATTATCCTTAGTAAAATATCTGAAATACAGCAGTGCACCTTGTTGCAGTAAATTATTCAGCATGCTGGTTATAATACACACAGAACAGTCTTGCTCAAAGTCTGCTTTCACGCACATCTGGTATGTTTCCCATATGTGTATGTGTCTGGTATTTATGACAGATACGCTTCTGGACGTACATACATGCACACATAACAAATAGATACGCAAATGCAAATTGGCTTATGTAAATAATCACTTTTAAGTTAGAATATTTCAACTGCAGAAATGTCTCAATGCAATAGCAACCTATAACTATCAGGACACTCTTCACTATCATAAAAGTAGTCAGGATTTGCTCACTTTTCTGCACCACATGCCTTTCTAATAGATCCATTATGTGCCACTATTACTTTTCCAGTGAAAGGATTATATTTTCAAAGGACTTTCAGATGTTTCATGAGAAAACAAAGGAATCTGAGCAAAAGACAGTGACTGTATAGAAGTAAATTGCATAAGTAGCTAAAGGAAAAGTATTTCAACATTACCATTTTGAAACTGTATTTAGACTGAGCAAGAGAAGAAAAAAATGAGCATGGCAAAACATAAAGGAAATAAGAGGCACATGCTGACTGGGGGAGTCCTCTAGACTCTAGCGCATGAGCTCACTAACTGCCAAGAAATTTCTGTGGAATACATTCTGTAGATTTCATAGTTTCCCACCACCAAATTGCTAATTCTTCAAAATGCTTTGGTTGAATTTAATCCCAAATACAGAAAGCAATTTATGATAAAGAACAGTCTGGAGCTCCTCATCATTAATAACATTAGTAACCAGGTCAATATAAATAATAAATAACTTAATAATAATAAATATAAATGCTGATGAACTGCACAAAGTAATTGTACTGTTTTTCAGACTTTGACCTTCATGGACAGTATTTACATAAAGGTGAAAGAATGACAATATTCTGCAAAAAGTGTAGGTGTCCAGGACTTGTGAATTCTTCATATCTCCAGACTGTCTTTTCTTCCATCCTGCCCCTCAAAGATTATAGGCCATGTCTGTGCCTAGTAGATATTTAAAATTAGAAAAATTCCTTCTGTTCTTGTTAAAAATCAACAAAACAACAAAAACCAAAGTAAAAATTATTTGAAATGTTCAGTTAATAACATACCTACTGAAAATTATAAATTACAAAAATGTATTTGTTATTATTCCTCACCACTTGGGCATGTCTCTGCATGGTGGATTTTCTACTCTCATTTTGATTTTATTGGTGTGGAAGTTGTTCAGATGTTTACAGTAAAAACACTGCAATAACTGTTCCAGCTAAGGCAGCTGTATAGTGCTAGCTGACTGTTACAGCACTGTTTACTTGCTTGTAGTGGAAACTTGAGAGCCACCGCCTCCCAGAGGGAGTATCTTGGTGACTTTGTATGACCTTTGGTTCTTGAATACTGAGAGAAATATTTTGGAAGTTTCTTAAATTAAATCAACAAACAAGCAAATCCTTCATCCTGGGCTTGATACTGCTTTCCAGCATGATTTCCCTTCCTATTTCAATCTACAAGGACACACAGCTAATCCAGTGACTTGTATATTACTCCTACTATCTCTCTCAAGGTGGAGTGACCATTAAGTTGCTAAAGGTCAACTATATGTTCAGATGCTGGAGTCTTTGTGGATATAAATCCCCACAGAGACACTTAAGTCAATTTGATCTGAACTTGAGGAGCGCATGAACATTTAGAGGTCTAATTTCCCATTTCTGATGTCCTTAGTAATGATAAATTACTTTTCCACTTCTCTTCTGAAGAACAAACCAAACTACAGAAGTAGATAATGATACTGATACTTGTACGTTTTCACTGCTATTCAACTGAAGCAGAGAGCAAGACTAAAGGTCTGTAAGGGAAAGAAGTTCTCTTGGCATGTCTCAACTCCATGGTGCTTATGGAGTCTAAAACATATATTCATCAAACCAGTTCTCTTTAATAACATTTTAAGGAGTTTTCTATTGAGCACTTTCTCCTTAACTTCATTGTAGGCTCTCCATCAAGAAAGAAGCTCAGATGTTTTTGATTTTGTAATGTGAATGTAAAAAACTATTAACTGTAAGCTTTCATAATTTTAAAATACTGCATTAATTGTCTTCAAATCAGGATTCTTTCAAGGCTCATTGAAGATTAACAAAGCAGCACAGTTTTAAGTTCCTAATTTCAGGGACTTTTGCTAGCATGTAGAAAAATTATTATGTTTGCACATCTTAGGAAATGTTGAATTAGTTCTCTCAAATTGTAAAATAAATTACAGACTAGGATTCAGAAGAGATTATTTCAAACAGAAAAGGAGTCAGACAGTGATAGTACTGAGGTATGCATGCTACATT